GAGCTTCTATTACCTTGACATGCAGATGATCGTCTAATAAGATGTTGGATGTCTTAAGGTTAAGATGGAGCAGTGGAGGTTTCAAGCTGTGAAGGAAATTCATGCCCATGGAGACCTCATGAATCATCTGAAACTTCTTTGGCCACATCAAAGTGTGACTGGAGAGGAGATTGTTCAGAGATCCATTACTCATGTACTCCATTACTACAGCAGTTGCTTCACTGCACAGCCCGTAGATGGACAAAATGTACTTGAATTTCAGTTTGGCGGTGTTGGACACCTCATCTGTTATTTTTCTGTGATGGGAAATAAAATAATGGTCAGTGAGGGGGCATTTCTTATTTTCAAGTTTGACCAAAAAGAAGCATCATTCTCCTGCAGCAAGCTTGTGCTGAGGCTGAAACTACAGATTTCTCTTGATCAATTCAAAGAACCTCATGTCAAAATATGCTAAAGAGCTGTTAGACTTTTGCTTTTGTCTCACAGAAACAGTTTAAAAAATGTGAATTCTTGTTAAACACTTACCTGTACTCTTTACTGGAATACACGGTTGTGTCAAAGCTTTTTAAGGCACATTTTTCCCGCCAGAGCCTCATCTTGACTTGGTACACCTGACCAAATCTGCATTCTGCCACTTTAATCCAATCAGCCTCAAATTCATCCTTCTTGAAATCCCTGAACTGCTCAGGGGATCCACCTCGGCAGTCCATGAGTGTAGAGAAACCTCACTCAAACAAATCCTTACTTGACATTCACTCTCCAGTTCTCCACACAAACAGGGTTTGTCCAGCAGATCAATATCAATCGGTAGCACAGCAGGAACCTGGATCTTATTCATAGAAAGCAAAAGGTTTAGAACACAGCACACATGCTAAAATGAGGGGCAGCAAGTGTGTAGTAGTGTGTCATATAAAAACTAGCATAAGTGTTTGTTCTATGGGAGGAGCCAAGGTGTGAAACTTGTTTCTCTTGCAATGTTGCCCAACCAGTTTTAGTTGTCAAAACTGCTGATCTCAGTTTCAGTCTTCCAAAGCGTGACTCTTAAACATTCCCCTCCAATGCAAACATGGCAACTGAATAGATGAATAGATTCAACAGAATGACATATCAGTGCTAGATGATAAAATTGCGTCCTGGTTTGTATTAAAAAATGTGAACTGACTAATGAATCATCTATTTCCATCAAACTGCTGTTCAATGAGGCAGTTAACCCCCCGTGAGCACCAGAACACAGTGGTGTAGAGTTTGATGTTGAGTTCATGGTCATTTAGTTAACACCAGGGGCTGGATGTGTGAGTCCGTGAATGTCTTTGTGTTATCTTTTGTAGAGCCATGCTGCAACACGGCTGCTCTAAATAATGCATGTGTAACTTCACAAATAGACGGGGGTGAAGCTACTTTCTTTTCAGCAGCAATATCAGTTATCGTTAGTAAGATCAATGCATGCCCAAATAAGAGTAAACTGCTGTCAGTCTTTTTTTTTTAAAGACAGTTAACCTTAACTAAACTCTTCACACAGGCATGCAAATGTTATCTGTTTGCTTGTCAAACCTGTCCTGTTAGAGTCCTACCTCCTACCTTGAAATTCTTTCAAAACAGCTTTGTTTTGAACTCGTCCTTTCCGACATTAAATATTCTCTGCGGGGATTTTCCCTGATTTTATGCTTTTTTATGCAATATGAGGAGCTAATAAAGCTTTCCAAACCACCGTCTAAACACATTCAATTTCGCTGCTGCCATCACACAATGTCAGCTGAAAGACATATAACATTCATAGCTTAACTCTGGCAATGATCTACTTCAAGGTAATCATATCCACAAGACTGTCATACCACTAATTTCTGTGAACATAAAGCATAGAAAATGGGAGGTCATCGGTACACAAAAAACTGGTTTTTCCTGCTCTGTGAGACGCAGAGAAGCAAAGACGATTTGCGCTAATGTTTTAAGCTTATTACCAGAAATGTATTTGCATTAGCCTTACTGGTGTGTGGTTCAGTTACACTGTTTTCAATTCAAAATAATCATTGGGTCGTTCTTTTATGAAGCAGCCTGTAATTCATTAATGATTAACAAAGATTACATTCAGTTTCAGCTTAGCTGTGAACTGGCTTTGAATGGGTTAGGGTTTGGGTCTTATGGGCTCGCATTGTGTCTAGAAAACAGCATATATCTGAGTCCACAGATTGTATCTCCTTGCATCATAAAAGAAAGCTGGTGATTTAGAGAAAAACTGTAAACTGCCTTTTTATAAGATTAAGATAATAACAAGCTTTTAGTAGAGAATTGGAATACAAGGGTGTCATTTCTCCCTTACTTTTATTTCCTTCTGGTGTTTCCTTTTACAACTATATTTCAACGCTATCCAGGCCTATTTACAGCTGAATTTCACAAGGGCATGTCACAAGGAAATTGACAAGCTCACATGCACACGGCTACCTTTGGCAGTCATAAAAATGTTTGGGCCTCCTCCTTCTGTTTTTCTCATTTCTAACACATTCAACATTTGGATTCAATGTGTTTCCTGCTGACAATATGATGCACATCTAAACCGCACACTCGCAATTGGGCACGAGTCACTACCAGGCAGCTCTCCATCTGTCCTTGTCTTTGTCCACCTCTCATATACTGGAAATGTAAATGGGATTCATTAGGATTTCTGTTCATGATGTATTTCTCCTGAGAGTGCAGATACAGGTCAGACTGCCGCACTCATTTCTTCTCCTCGTCTATGTGGTGAGCCAGCTCTTTGTTAAGGCTTTCATTCCTGAGACGCGGTTAGCAATTCTGATTAATAAGTCAACTTCAATAGGATTTTCCCTTCCCTGCTTCTTCTAAATTCCCCTGCTGTGGCAGCAGGACTGCGGTAGGGAAAAGAAATGCATAGCCTTGGGATGGGTTTATGTCCCGTGGCCTATATAGGTGCTGTCATTTTCCTTGTGAAAAACAAAAATGCAAAAATGATTTAAACAAAGTATTGTGAGGCTTTGCATGATTACAAATGAATTACTTTGCCACTACATTGCATTTCATTGTGCTGGATTGTCAGTTGTTCTTAGATTAAATAAGAGAGGAGTTGAGTAGGGTAACCAGTCTGTAAAACATGAAAGAGCATCACCATTAAGTGAGATAGATACAGTATCTATGATTTAGAGCAGTGTCTATTCCCACAACTGCACAGAGCTGCAGTAACATCTTACCATCTTCTCATCACATCTGCTCTGTAAATAAATGTATTTTAGTTACGCGCCTAATTTGAGTGCCAGTACTTGCAAAACAATAATTTCATATATCAAGGATGGGTGGTGGGATAAATTTAACAACCATTGCCTCATACTTCACCAACTCATGCTATTATTTAGGACAGACTCATGGACTGATGTTCCATGGAAAATTTCAAGCAGTTGTGATCAGATTTCTGAGAGGCTACCTAAGGGGAGAAGTCTGTCTTCATTGATGGAAGCCACATCTAGCAGGCCGGTCAATTGCATTAGCAGGCTTCACCACACTGGGTAAGCTGACTGGTTAGAGCTAAGGCATTTTCCATTGCCCCTCATGTGCTCTAATAGCTTAACTCAAGCCTCTCTGATCTATATTCTCAGAGCATACGGTTGTAAACATAACAAAATGAAATGGTATGTTGAGGGCATTGAGTGATATATTCTCCCATGTACATATAATGTGATTGCAATGGTAATTGGCTCTTCACAGCATTTTACTTTTTTTTCTTACTTCAGGTCCTTGTTGTACGGATATTTTTTCATGATTGTATTGTGACAGAAGTATAAAAGTTAGAGGTGTGTGAGACAGAGCAGCAACATGGTGAATCAGAGTCACTGGAGGCATAGTCAGGGATTTACTTTTTCAGAAAATCAATCATATGATGATGTTAATCTTTGTGCACTCTCAAGTAATTAAGATAGTTTTGACAAGCAAAGTTATATGATATTATCTGTTTTGTTTTGCCTACATTTTTGGGGGAAAGGTACTTGCTGTTTGGACTGTAAATTATTTTCTGTAAAGATTGTTCAAAATATGAGTCACTATTCTGACACTGCCCTTAGCATCTAATACCAGCACTCAGTCTACCGATAAGTATATTGCTAATACATACGTACTTACCAACTAGTTACCCTTTTGAATGACTTGTTAACAGTATTTTTACAGCTCAGTATCTATGCCTCAGAGGCCTCCCATTTCCCAGGTTATTATTATGTCAGTAGCCCTGCTGTTCATATGGGTCAAACCTGACCCATTCCAAGCACAAATGTCTTTTTTTAAGGTAATGATGAATAATGAGGTCAATTCTAGGAGAGGAAGTCTTACAAAGAGAACATTTTGTTAATATAGTTCAAAAGAGACAGAAACAAACTCATAAAGCAACCTATATGTTGCATACAGATACAATTTATTTATCATATTATAAAATGATACAAAAATCACTTAACATTTATACTACCTTCTGGGATATATATTAAGACACACTGATGCAATGACAAACCCTGCATGGGTGTTGTATGCTCTCATACTATGATAAATATGCTTCAGATAACATTTACCCTAAAATATTTATCACAGGAGCTTAATGATGGTGTCAACCACTAATGCATACATGATATCAAACTATGACTGATTAGTTATCTGTCTCAAAGCGCTACACCGAGTGTATTGATTTCTTGCCACTGAAAGGAGATAAAGAGATCAGAGCGTCTTTTCTCTTTGGAGATTATGTTTATTTTCAGTAAATTGTAATAGACTATTTATGTTTAAGTGTGAAATTTAACTGCAACAGCTGTGTCGTCTGTGAGAGGAGGTTCGAATTGGATTGCTCCTCACTGTCTATTCTGCCCTAAACCGGCTGATAAGACTGGTCGCCTCTGCTCTGTGGTTAATATGATTGACTGCTCCACTGTCTGTTGGCTAATATAATTGTCTGCAGCTATTTTGGTAGGGACTTGATCAGTGTCATTGGCAGCAGTTCCTCCTTGGTCACGGTAAGATCAAGTCACCTCCCGGGTGAAGACAGGCGCAGCAGGCTCGTGGTGGAGCTGTGGAGGGCGGCAGCCGGATCACACGATGGCGATAGGCCAGCCACACCAGCAGCAGCATCACCGTGACAAGAGACAAACCAACCACCAGGCTGACAATGACCAGAACTAGGTCCAGCTCTGACTGATCTGAAATTCAAACAGGAAAAATTAGCGTTATGAGGCTATCCTCAGGATTCTTAATAGAATTTTGAAGGGGGAAATACAATTCAACCTGACTAAAATTAATTTGGGCTGTCTTTCCTGGTAGTTTTCTATGATAAACACATAAAGAGCTACATATATAAATTTGCACATTGGGGTGACACATAATAATATGGCTCCTTTCTTCACCTTTACTGATAAACGGCACAGTCATGTTTCATTTCCTGCCCGAGAGTATCTCCTTTTCATGGTTTGTTATCTCAGATTGATTGTTTTTGTTTTAAGGCCCAGTTAATAATTACCTATCTCCTCAGGGAAGGTAGAATTCTGCTCCTGTTTCAACAGTGGCCCAAAGGATATGCGATTTCTAAGATTGGTGACAATGGTGTCTGGACCCTCTGAAGGGAAAGCACTCCTCTGCTGAAGGCACCGCTATCATAAGACAATGGAAAAAAAACACAGGCTCAGTGTGGAAAATGATGAAGTAGCTAACAGGTAATTAACGTCTTGAAGAAGGATGGTTGTTGTGCTTATCATCAAAGATAAAAATGAACAATATACAGAAATACACTGGTGATTGAAATACATCTCACGGATGAATATTTACAAAATCCTGTTTTCCTTTGTGTTATTCTTTAAGTGGATGGAAGGGAAAACGTAGTTTTAACCTGAAGGCTGCTTTTCTTTTATTCTAAGTGAACCATTTTGTATTAAATCTGGTCAAAAGAGGACATGAGAGTTCATCATATATATCATAGAGCTCATATGTAAATGCATATGCAAAGTGTATTTGTTTCATGTAGACTGACACAAGCCGTGAGCAAACACACACCATTTCAACCAACAAGGGAAAAGGGATTGATTTTTGTCTTATATTGGCACTTGTTAAACTTTGCACATGCTGGCCTTGTGAGAGCCATGCATTTTAAACCTAAGTTATACAATGGAAACATTTTGTATTTAGTTATAAGCGAATGTTTTGAAGATTTCAGACTTACTCTGGATCGGTAGTTCTTGGCTTGGGCTTGGATTAACATTGTTATTGCTTTAGGATAATTTTCATCTTTTTCCCACTGTAGGTGTGATGCATTTTTGTCAGCCACGAGCTGTGAGAAATAATTTTCCTTTGACATTATGAAATCAAGAATGTAGAATCTAATCATCATCTTTTTATTTTTTTGTTTCATTCCTGTATTTATCTAGGCTGCATGGTGAAATGGCGGTCTGCACAGTTGCCTCACAGAATCAAGGTTCCTGATTCAAATGTGATTTGTTCTGACGTCTGGATTAACATTACCAAATTAAAAAAATGCTTTCTTGGTTTATTATTGTGTCCAATTCATATTTTGTGTCATGGTGCCATGTTCACATTTTTGGGATTGTAGTTCATTTCATGAGTTTGGGCCAAGGACTAATATGTGACAAGTTAGTCAGAAGTTGGACGAGTAGCCAAAGCATTGAATACATAGATATGGTTGAGAATTTTGCAGCAGTAAAGATATTACTGTTGAAAGAACAATTGAAGTGCTCTTTAAAAATGGATGCCTGAATAAATTCTGAGAATTTACACACCTCTTCACATGCCTTTAACACACACCAAGGTTTAGAAGCTGGAATGAGCGCTACTGATAAAAGTGGACATTCTTCTACTTCTTTTTCTTGGCAGAATATTTTGAACTTCTGACACCATCTTTTGTCATTTTTAATTCAGGGAAGTGATTTATCCTTGTAAGTTATCCTCGACCTCTTCCTTAATGCATTATTCACCTCGGTCTCTCATTTTGTTCTCCACCTTACTCTATTCACAAGATCCGGCTCACTCGTTGGCTTTCTCTTTGTTTTTAACAGTGTCATACCCTAAGTCGCTACATGTGAATTACTTTCAGATCCTCGGTTTTACCCTTTCGCAGTCAGAGTTGTTCCTCAGGCAGACACTGAGATCACAGTGTAGGTACACTGCTGAGTAATTAATCAGTTGGAAGAGACTGATGGTGAAACTGGCGCTGGTTGACAAAGCACTGGGCAGCAATGTGACCCCTGGATGCTGCGCTGCTAACCTAGTGAAAAAACACAAATGCATTGCATAAGCTTTAAGACACTTCTATTGAAAGCAAAGTTAAAGTGAAAATATCTGGTAGGCGAAAAATTCAAGTCAAATTTGAAACATACAATCAATACACATGTAGCAGATTGTGTATCAGCACATCAGCATCGGTTACAGCATTAGTTTTAGTAACATCGATGCTAATTTTAGATTGTGTTTATGTTAATTTATTCCCCACCTATAGAGAGATTTAAACATTTAATAGGTTTCATTTGTTTGTTTTCATTCCACCCAGAAAAGATATGCAGGTTGATAAGTGTTGTGTTCTGCTATACATTGAGTGTAAACACCCATCCTTCAGACATTTTGACACATTTAAGCTACTGCGTTTGCATCGATATCTGTCCAGTTCTGCAGGGGTGCAACAAATTTCCTCCTATCTGAGTGACGCTGGCACAAAGAGATAACACCGTCATCAGGAAGCCTTATCATGTTTACCAAGAATATTCAAGAAGCAACTGCTACTGCCTGGATTGACAGGAATGTTTGTGACGGTATTTGGCTGCTAAAGCCTGCAAAGCTGTGACTGACTGGGAACGTTGTGCCGGGGTCACCGCAGACATTAGAAAATTGTTGCTTGTTGTGTGTTTATCTGTATATTATCATCAACACACAAAATAGGTTTTTACATTCCCTGTGTGTAAGTTTGACACTTTATTAAATCTACCTACGATGAAAAACACTTCTGACTCCATGTAACTGCAGTTGGAGGAAGTAAGAATTTAACCCTGAGATGGAAACACTGCATGCTTTATCCTTCTTTACAATACCGACTCTCAATTCGCAGACTCTAAAGCATACCTGGAGAAAAGATAGCAGGTGGAGTTGGTGACGTTAGGCTGAATGGTGGGGGACAAGCAACAGGAAGTGACACCAAAGTTTATCCGACTGTTGTTTGTGTTCAGGTTGATGACAACTGTCGGGCTTCCCAGGGCTGGCACAGCGTCACCGGGCTGGATAGCCCTTCCAAGGTTCAGGCTCATTTCTGCCGTGTAGTTCCCACTGCCACACAGGTCATCTGAAAACTTAGTTAGACTGGCGACAAATCAATAACTTTGTTAAGATACAGGATTTAAAATTTGATTGGAAAGTAGTTTAATCAATTAATTAGCTCGTTCCAGTATTCTGGTGGAGTGTAAAACCTTATTTGAGTCTTACAGTTTTATCTATTGGAAGTCTGAATGAGTGTCAAATTATATACAATAAAAGCCATTAGATGTAAAGTACATCTAATAGCCTACTAGAAAAATGTGGAATTTACTCTCTTATGTAACCCACTGTTGTAAAAACAAGACAAAACCAAAAACATCCTACAGTTTCCTGTGGAGCATCACTTATTCCACTGCATACATTACCAGCTTTTTTGAGTACATTTTTCTGTTTGCCCTTGAGAGATGGATACCAGCAGGTAAGAGAGAGATAGCAAAGACTCAATGAAAAATTCAAAACACATTGCCATTAGGTTCCTGTCTAGGGGAACTTAGAAATATGCTGAGAAGATACACTGCCAGCTTTTTCTACTCATTGTGTCAGTCTTTTTTCTAAAATGTTGATTTATTGCCTGGAATGATTCCAAAAAACTGTCATCCATCCCCATTTTGCTATACTGCTTATTCTTAGTAGAAGGGCTTGAGCCTCTCCTGGCTGTCATTGGGCTTGAGACAGGGCACGCCCTGGACAGGTTTCCAGTCCATCACAGGACCACAAAGAGACGAACCAACACGCATACTCGTATTCACTCCTACAGGCAAATAAGAGACTTCAATTAACCTTTTTGACTGTGGGAGGAAGCCAGACTGCCTGCTCAGAACCCACGCATACATGGGAAGAACATGCAATATTTCCACATTCTGGCCATCAATCACTGTTTTGTCTAGGGCCCAGTTAAGAATTGATTGCTGCCGATGATATAAAGATGCACATGTAGAGAAAAAAGATTGACTGCGATGTACCCACTCAACAGAAATAAAAAAAGATCTACAGGGCCAATATTTGACTGAAGACTGTTAGGAGTTACATGCAAGAAGAAATAACATTACCCGGAGAGATGCGGGTGAGGGGATGCCCTCCTCAGGTTCAGCCTTGGCAGCTCTGACTCAGACTTGGGCTCTGACAGTAATAACCTGCTCCCATACTCTGGACCTGCCGTCTCCTCCTTTGCCTGGGCACGCGTTGACCTGCTGGCATTTTGTGCTTCTGATATCCCTCTGCCCGCTCCCCTCTGTAGTTGCGTTTGGCCGTTTTTTTCAGTCGGCCGTGTTTCCAGCGTGGATGGTAATACGGTCTGCGCGGTAGCTGCCTCAAGTTCAGACGGAGTGACCCCCGTTGCAGTAGCCTCTCCAGCTTCAGAGGTCTCTCTGTGAAAGTGTCTTTGTGTTGTTTTCCTCAACAACTCGGCCCACTGAGGTATCCGATGTCTTCCCCGTTTCACACTTTTATCTGCCGTATTGCTGACTGTTCTTGTCACAGTCCGTTCAACGTTGGCATGGTCACGCTCGGTTTTACTGGTGACCGGTGACAGCATAACTTCAAGGTTAGTAGTCGGGGGTGTTGCCTTACCAGGCACAGAACAATCAAAGCTACATTTGCCATTCTCAGGTTTCATGTCAGGAGTGTTTTCTGCTATGAAATCATCTCCTCTTACTATTCCAGGGGATGTTTTATACATTTTTGCTGCAATATCAATCATATCCATTTGCAATATTGTTTCAGCAGTCTCCCCTGTCTTATCACAGGCTATTGCTCCACACCTGGTTTTATTAATCATCTCCTTTCCCATGTTCCCTGCAGGTGGTACAAAATCAGTCTTAGCTCCAATGAGCGGTTGACTTATTGAGGTTCTCTCAAGCAACATTTGCTTCTGGTGTCCTATAAGGTCCCGTGTGTACGCTCCAGGAATTTTCTCAGGCAAGGGATGTCTTTCGTTGCTCTCTGCTGGCAGAGTTGATGTGATTCCTTCAAATGATGAGTGGTTCATTCTCTCAACCATAGCAGATGTTTGGCTGCGATCCCCTCGAGCTCCGTGGCCGGTCTCCAAAAAAACCGCCATGACACCAGCCTCTGGTTCATTAGGAGGACCTGATAATGCAGTCATAAGCTCTACCCTCTGAGACTCAGAGAGCTTTACCCTCTGAGCTTCCACAGTGTTTTTCCCCTTCACAGCAGTGGAGAGTTTTCCAGTAGTGGGGGTTTTGTGAGCTTCTCTTAATGAAAAAGACTCAGTGTGACTGTAGGACATATCCTCAACAGCAGCCTGAGATGTTTTTTTAGTCACTGGCAAAATCTCAGTCGTGGTCATCAGTGATTTATAATCTTCTCTGGATACATAAGGACTGCCTGTGTTCGCAGTCGGCGTGACAGAGACAAAATCATTGATCACCTGAAATTTAGAGGGAACATTCTTTATCTGGTCACCAATTTGCTCTGTGAATTTACCCTGGACGTTCAGGTCACTGCTAGGATTAATGTGCTGTACTAAGACAGTCTTATTGTGCAGTGACTGTTGGGATTGAGAGTTCTCCTCTTTGTGGATTTTTGCGAAATAATGCTGCATATATAGGGGTGTGCTGTTGGTCACTACATTTGGCTGTATTTTGAGCATTTTAGCCAGACTGTCTGACTCGATATGGGCAGGAATTACAATTTGGTCATTTGTTTTAAGAAAAGATGTTGCAGCATTGCTAATAAATGGCTCAAAATCCCCATATAAATCCTTCTCAATCTTGTACATTCTACCATCTAAAGGGTACAGAGGATCAGAAATCGGAGGCATAACTGTACTGTTTGCTTTAATATCTATATTAGAGTTGTCAGTCAAGGTCATGATATTCTCATTCTTTAAAGACATTGAGTTATCATCAGTGTTCATAGCAGTTGTTCGTAGTTTTAAAAGAAGGCTTTGCTTTTTATCGTTTTTCTCTGCCTTTAGCTTTGTGACTGTCTCTGAATGCTTTGCTACTGACGTCACCGCCATTTGCACGCCATCATTCTTTTCACTTTGATTTCTGTCACCAGTAGATGCTAACAAGGGCTTGTCACTTCCACTATTTGAATATTCTGCATCAAAGTTTGCCTCCGGCGTTTTGTCCACTGAGGTCGATCGAGTTGGCCCTAGTAATCCATAGGTTAGACGTAAACCGTCGCTTTCAAATGTCCTTAGATTTAACCCCAAAGATTTGCCGCTGAGAGGAATTTGATCGTTTTTCACTCGGGGGCTCATTGATGGCGTTGGTGTCAGTACATATCTGGGCTTGTTATTATCAGTGTGAGCATGCAAAGGGTCTGGAGGAGAGTCTGTCTGCTGTGACAGCTTAAATGAGCATGGCTTGCCTGAAGTCATGTCAGAACAGGAGGAGGACCGATTTCTCTGAGCGGAAGGATGCCCTTGGCGAGGCTGCAACTGGCCTACGGAGATGTGAGCCTCAGATGACAATGCAGCGACTGTGGGTGTCTTTGTAGATGTGTCATTATATATCTGCTGGTGTGAGGCAGGGTTCATTGACGGCATAATGTGCCCTGCTTGCTGTCTCCCCTTCACCGTATGTAGAACTGAATCGCCCCTCAAAACTGGAGTGTTAAATTTATGCTTATGATCTGTGACGTTGTAAATAATTGATATATTCAGAGAGCGATTTACTGTAAAGTGGGGCTTTGCTCTGTGAGATCCAGGGGTGAGTGACAGCAGTTTACTGGGGCTGGGCAGAACAGGGGGAGCTGATGTAGTTACATGTCTGTTTAGGGAAAGATCTGGCTCAAATAAATGTCGAAATTTCTCAGACGGGATGACATCGGAAGTACGAGAGAGGTTGGATATGGCAGAGAAAGAAAAGGTAAATTTCTTGTGAGAATTTGCGGTAGGAAGTGGTGGCACAGCCTCAGGGACTGGAAGCACAGTCGTATGGGTAAACTGGTTCCATCCATCCTCTCTGGGAGAAGACGTTTTTGATAATTTTGGTTTTGGAGACCTCAGACTCGACAGCAGTGTAGGATGATTGCTTGTCAACTTCGAGGAAAATGATTTATTTGAAATTTGTGTGATTTCTGGAACATTTTCACCCATGTGAATGCCATTTTGCTGAATGGCTTCCAACTCTTTAATCGAACTGTGACCATTAGACAGTTTTGTAACAGTTTGCCCTTTGTGTCTGTTCAGTTGTTTCGGATTGGCTGTAGGTTGAAGTGAAACACTTGCCACACCATCTTCTATGATAACTTTATTAGATTTCATGTGTCCCTTGCTTGATGGTTTGTGTCTATTCATCTCTGTGCCTTCTTTTCCCAAAGTCCCTCTGTTCCATTCGGCAACATACTGGGTGGAATTCTTTGTGTCAGCATCAGCTTCTACTTTCCTCAATCCTTCCTCAGTGGTTCGGTTTATCTCTGCATCAGATATGATTATTTTCCCTAATTTTCCACTTTCGGTCTCATCTAATCTTAATTCCTTGCTTTTGTTTTCCACCCTTTGAATGTCCGTGCTTTCTTCTTCATCATCTATTTTCATCTCTTCATTCTTTTGAATGTCTTCGCTCTGCTGGCCGTCAATGTTCACAATCTCCTTGTTCTCATTTTCTGCAACTATTGTCAACACCCCTTTGTTTTTATCTCCCGGTTTCAGCTTGTGCATGTTTTGTGACACTGTAATTAAGTCACCATTATATTTAGAAGAAGATTTATGTGCTTTTGTCACATTTTTATAATTGGTAGCATGAAAAGCTATCTCCTGAGTGACTTTTGATGAAGTCCCGCTTGGTTTTGCAGACAATAATATGCCAGATAGTGGTGTTAATGTTAACACGGTCCCCTCATAACCTAAAGCATGGCTGGATTCTGACTGAAAGAATCTCATTGGCACAACGTTTCTGGTGACAAATATTGAACTTTGTGGCTCTTTCATGACGGGTTTGTTTGCTGGCTTTGGGGTAACAAGAAAATATTTTTTAACAGTGTTGTGTTCTAAAGTAAATTTCTGAAAATCCTGCTCATCCTTCAAGTTTGTCACCCCAAATACACGGCTGATTGCAGACTCCTTTGGTAGCAAAGTCAATATTGGTTTCTCGGTATGAGAGCTTAGTTTAGATCGCTCATGGTTTTTTAGCACAGAGATGAAAGAATCAGCTCTTACTGTCAGAAAATGAGACTCAAATTTTTGGTCTGTTAAAGTGGTTGGCCTTATAAGGCTGAAGGGTGTTATTGCACTGTGAGCCTCCATAACATCCATGCTTGCAGTTGGTTTTGATCCAGTGCTGTGATTGCTACCTTTCGAGAGAGCACTTTTCTGACTGCTGAGGGGGGTTTCAGGGAAAGGCGTTTTGCTCAGTGACTTACCGGTGATGTCCTGATGTTTCAGATTTGTTGAGAGACCGTTGGCAGTAATTATTTTGCTCTTAGTGAAATACATCAGATTTGACTGAGGGTCCCAGAGGCTCACCTTATCTACAAACACCTCCTGTTCTCTCTTTTTTTGTGGCCTCTCCCCAGTATAAAGTGACTTTGATGGGAAATAAAGTGCTGGGGTTGTTGAGCCCAGTCTGTCAGTGACAGTTTCACTTGCACAGGTGTTTCTTGGTTGTGTCTTAGTGTCTTTTTCCATTACCAGTGATTTGTCACCCAGGGACTGTGTGTCCAACACATTAGCCTCTGTATCTGAGAAAGCAGATTTGATTCGGGGTTTATTTAAATTGTTATGATCCAGATTTCCATTGATGGACGACGAAGGAAAGCTGTGATTATGGAATAGTGTACCTCTCTCACTGAAATAAGAAGTTGGAGGAAAATTTCTTGTGCTGATCTCTTTGCTTTGAGTTTGTCTGTGATCCTCCACCGACCTGTGAAGTAAACTCTGCAATGAGGTTGTGAGCTGGTTGAGATCTGAAGAGAGCCCCTTTGTACCAATAGAGTCTGAAAATCCATGAGGTGACAGAACAGGCAGGGTCGCAGATTTCTCAGTGGGTGCCGATCTTCTATCTTTTACACAGGACACACAGTCTGTCATAATGTGCCCTCTCACTGAAGCTTCTGTTGGATCACTTTGTAAGATGGATTGGATTGTACCAGACAGATACGCATTTCTTCCCAGGTTTGTTATACCCTTGACTTGAGGTTGTTTGTCATCTTTGCCATTTTGCAGCACAGCCAGGTTATCAATTACACGAGGATGAGATGCAGATAGGATTGGAACTCCCAGCCCTCTATCAGCAGATGTGAAAGTAACAGAGCTAGTGTTTCTCTGGTCCCTGTTATCGTGCAGAGCATGACGCCAAGGAGGGGCTTTCACTGCATCTGCAGAGAAATGAACATGTGGCCCAGAGGTGTCATTCATCACTGATTCCAGTTCAGCAAGTGGAGAAGTAAAACTGTGTTTTCATAAACAGACTTAAATGGGATTTCTAATTCAGCGCCAGCCATCATAACTACTGGGTTTGGTTTTGTTGATGTAAGGGAATTTTCTGTGCTTTGTTTAGCAGTTATAGCTTTAGTGGTTTGTTTAGTCTTATAAGCTAGTGTTGGTCCACTGTCAAACCAGATCAAACCTGGAAATTCGACACCGATGACTACTTTAGTGTGTCGACGTGCGTTTTCTTTTGCTGCTGCTTCTGTGCCATTGTATTTCGTTTCCCAAACCAGATCTTTTTTAACAGCTGCGCCTGATATTTGCTCTCTGGAGTTTCCTTGAAAATCTTATGTTTTTGCCCCAACTACAAAATCAATGAATAAGTAATTGTGTCATATTTCGTTCCAAAAGGCTGTTCTACTTACACCTAGCATGTATAATTAACAAGTATTTTCTTTCTGCAAGTTATAAATACTTTAGTTTTTAAAATGCATACACAGATAACACATCTGCTTAATGTAAATTCAGATATGCAATTTAACACCTGTGCCAACATACATTTTTTACACGTGAATATAGATAAAAGCCAGGCCAAGAACCATGTCAGCAAAATATGATGATGTCAAAGCACAAATAACAGGCATGTTTCAACGCGACAGGCTCTTTGAGAGAATGTTAGAAAATTCCTACAATAGAAAATTCCAACACAGTTTGCAGGCAGACGTTTACTGGCAGATATTTACTGACCTCTTTTCATTAACATATCTTTGCTTCTGGATAATCTAAAATTACATTAGATTGATTACCAAAAGGAAATTACAAAGTAAATGCAATTTTAGCTTCAAATCCAGGTAAACTGCTTTTTCTCTTTTAAAATTCATCACTCATTTATAAAAAAGGAAGTCTTCCAAAAAGATGCAACATATTTTTCAGCTTTCTGTTTTAGGAGAATTGCCAAAACAAAAACAAAAAAAAATCAATCAATAAACAATCAATAAATTACCTTAACTGTCTTCGTATCTCTTAATCTTGTTTTATAAAAGCTGGGGCAATACATTTGAAAACGGAAGTCAATAAAATGTAATCTAAGGTAAAAAATGAATGCAAATAGAACATACCTGTGAGCAGGAAAAGTCCAAGTGTGAAGCTGTACAGCATCCCCATTTCAGTGTTGTTTGCAATAACTTAAACTCCAGTGAGAATAGGCTCTTATTAGTTTTTCCTGCCCTTGCAGACAAAGTATCAGCTGTCTTCACATATACAGAGACAGGGTCATGACCTGCTGAGAGACTGTCCTCTAAACTTCATTATTGCATGGATTGGATTTCTCAGTAGCCAAGTTGGAGTTCTCAACGGAGCCAAATATGCAAGAACAGAAAATAAAATCAGACTATGATACAACACATAATTAGAAATAAATTAAAATGTTTCATAATTGTACAGCTCTCATTATTACACAGTATGATGCTTTCACTTATTTATATCAATAAGCAATAAAATGTGATACATCAGCATCATTCAATCTCATGTAAATTATATGTCTGTATATATATATGTACTGTATGTATATATATATTCCTGATGCTTAATAAGAACATCATTCAGGACAAATACTTTAATCATGTCCATGTAGTTAACTGTTTTCTGATTCACACATTAAACAGAAGGGTAAAAATGGACAGAGGATAGTAAAATTGACTACATTTGTACTTCCAGTTGTTTGATTTCAGGATTATTATCTGTACAAATCCAATAGACATAGAAGAACAGGGTCAGCCAAAATCACTGCTAACTGATTTGACCTTGTTTATGTACATTAGATTAGGTAATTGAGAACAGAATAAAGTTGACAAGCAATACATTTTTCATGTTTAATCAGTCACACTTGGCCTTCTTCAACAACAACTTATTTGGCCTAAATATCTTAGATAAAATACAAAAACAGGAACAAACAGAAGCATGAGAAGAAAAGAGAATAATAACAAGCTACAAATTTAGGAGATGAGCTTTGCACAGGAGTGCAGGATCTCAATGCCATGTAGCTCTCGAAGTCTGTCAAGATGTCTGCAAATGGGAAAGGAGAAAGTTGTTGTTGTTTCTTTTAATATATTGTGACAGTATGTTCAGTAAGTTCGACTGAGACATCACTTTTCCACAAATTTCTAACAAAGTCAGTCCGGAGCTCCCTGGCCTGAAGGTCCATTCATGTCCTTTAAGTCCTTCTGGCAGCACACTACTGTCCCATTACAACATTTACTACGGAATGACATGTTTGTGTTTGGTGGTGACCGCTGAACTCATGCTCTGGAACCATTTGAGTCAGAGTCACACAGTCTGTCCCTGCTCTGGAGATTCTAAATATCTGAATGAATGAACACAACATGAAGAGAGAAAACAATTTCCCACACAGGGGGAGACAGTCTGAGGAAGGCGGTAGAGGTCATTCACAGGCCAGTGTTGCATTGTTAGCAAAGAGGTAGTGGAATGATTTGATGGTCTCAGTTGTAAATCATCATACTTGAATGTGTTATATTGAAGTCCAAATCTACTGGCTGGGAAAGCTCCAGTTTCACTAGCCCACTTCAATAGATTTTGTACATGAATGACACATGGTACATTTTTACTCTGACTGTGGATATACTGGAACCATCTTGAATAATAAAATATACTGTTTCACTGGTATAAAAAAATGTGTTTCCAAAAGGATGAGCTGAGTTTCCAGAAACTGAATCTGAGTAAGATAAAACAGAATGAACTTCAAATGTCGCCGCAAGCAAGACAAACTCTGCTGAATTACTGCAAACACGCTTGACCTTTTCTAGGAGATCAGCAGGCATGTCAAATACATACAGATGTAAATCTGGCAAAAAAAAAACTATGTAATAATTTCATACAAATAAAATATATTCAAGGTCGAATTCAACTAAGATTCACACATTTTATTTGAATGCGTGGATGAGAAAACTTTTTAGCACATTTCCAAATTAGGGCTGATGATATTTTCCATTTTGAGGTCATTATCATGCAGAACAATACGTGGACAGAAGAAAATATGGAGTCAATTTTCAGCCTATGCAATTAGGGTCTGCTATCATTAACAAATTTGACTGTTATGTTGGAAAAATAAGAACATTGCTAAGGGAGTATTTAACATTATGTTCAACTACTGTGAAATTCCACAGAAGACGGTATCTTACATAATTTTTTTTGTGTGAGTTGTGGGTGGAAAGCTATGCCAGTGAAAAATTTGTATGTTAAATAATTTGGCAAAGGAAGGCAAAAAATGCTAAAAACAACTTGTATCAAACTGCATCAAACTAAATTTCCACTTGAACACACTTAAGATTTTATGCATTCATCATGAATATTTGTTGCAAAACGAATGTATTTTCACAACATAACTAATGTATGGAATCATTAATTAACTCATATTGCACTAACCTAATATCTGTCACTTCCGGAGAACTTAATCACTAAGCTGAGAATATGTGGTGATGCTTTGCCAACTTCAAAGACAAGGATGATAAATATCAAGTGATCTTTTTGCGTCTCTAAGCAAAAGCGAAAAGTACATTTATATAAATATAGCTAAATTTGTTCTCCATTACATATTTTTCTGTTTCTTTGGCAGACAACTAAAATCATCACTTGAAACCTTTTGAACTAAATACAACTCTCTAACTGTATAAATGACTTATAACCATATATCCTTTCATTTTTACCGCCCCAAGTAAAAATTTCAGAGAAAATAAACATCTACTTATCCAAGAGGAAATTGATTTAAAAAAAAGACCCTGTCCAAAAATGGTTTGCAGGGGTAACAGGTCCAAGAGGGAGACATAGACATCTCTCTTTCAAGTGACACTTTCCAGAACCTAATGGTGGATTCAAAGGCGTTCATCATGCCAAAACAACCAGGGCCACCTCAGCTAGTTACTTAAATACAGATAAGCAGCAGCTCTAATTTGAGCTCCCTACAGATAGTCAACAGGTGCTGCTCTGTTGTGAAGTTAAAAGCCACAACTATCAGAAAGAAACCCAACATAGCAGCAGTGACTTAAAGCTCATCTTTTCAGTCACTGCACCACATTTTGTGATCATAAATCAGGGTTGACACAATGATGGACCTGTAAACTAAAAGCACTGTCTTCACCCTCACCTCCAGCTTCACCATATTGGCCCCCATTACTCCTGACTATGCCCCAGTTTCTGCCCACCAACTTGCCCCCACTTGTGAACAAGATCCCAAGTCACTCTAACTCCTCCACCTGAAGCAAAGACTCCTCCCCAACCCAAGGAATCACTCCATTTGAGAGTGAGAACCATGGCCTTGGATGTGACAGAGCTGACTTTCACGGTAGAACATTTAGCAATTTAATAACAATGTTGAACTTTGAAATAGAACTGTGCTTGTAACTGTGTTGTATGAAGTTTTTACATTAAACACAGTTGAGTTGACTTTTTAACAGTGTCTAAATAAAAACAGAATACATGTTGGTTTGACTGCCTATATATATTGGAATATATTTATAATAAATTAATCATAACAAATCAAAACAGAGTCAAAACCAGAGTTGCAAATATAACTATATGAACAACACTTTGAATCAATAAAGTTTGCACAACTAAGATTTATCAAGATACATTGTTGATTACTCATATTCTTATCAAAGGCATCATGAAAATGAATTTATGACGCAAATATACACTTAATTTCTATCAATAAACGGGTTAGAAGATATATGGTTGGAGCTTATTTGCCCAAATTAATTAATTTCCTTCATGTTTGGGGTTAAAGAAAGCGGCTGTCAGCGGCTTTTCATGAGGTCCAATAATGTTCAAGGCCAGTTTCTAGAACATAATTAACCATTTGCGGTCTGTTGAATAGGAAGAGAAGGTACCTTGGCTCAGATCGACATAATTTCCCAAGAGCAATCGCTGCATTTTGCTGCACAGTTGTTCTTTCGGCGTCCCCTGCAGCGTGTCGCAGTAGTAGCAACACAATATCAGTACCCAGCAGGCAGGTGGCAACTCCATCCAACTCGAAGCAATGGGCCAAGCACAGAGCTGCATTTCCTGAAACCATCTCATCACAGCTGGAACTCAACAAATGGCGTAAAATGGACAGCTCTGTGTACAACAGATGAATGAGCAAAATGAGAATATATTACATATTCAACAAACAGATGTAAATGCCTTAAACCAGCAGATGTGATGGACTTTAGAGGCTAGATAAGAATCTAAGCACATGTATCTAATCCCACAACACTTCATTTAAATTCAGCATGAGAAGTCACACCTGGAATATTATTCTCGAACTAATGGAAGAGTTTAATAATCCTGTGGTGTGAATCAATTCTCACTTTTATCAGACTTCAGCAGCTCCTCTCGTGCCAAGTCACTGGCAGCAGTGCACACTGCCAAAGTCTTGATGGCGTATTTGGTTGCTGCCTGTCCGTTTCTCTGGTAATCAAGCACAAAAATAACCATATCAAACAAACTAAATTGTAGCCAGTTCCAAAACTCATGAAAAAAACTTGTCCCTCAAATTTTTATTTTAATCTTCACTGCATCATTGTAATTTAATTTTCAAGACGCAAAGGAGTAGTTGTGATTTCAGTTTGGTCTTGTTTCATTTTGATATTTTGCTTTGGAAATGTTCTGCTATCATTTTAAATTTTAGCAACAGTATGATAACATTTCCTTTTCATTTATTTGTTTATTTAATTATTAGCATTCTGACACCTCGAAGCCCATTCAGCATAATAATAAAACACAAATGTGCAACACAAAGCGAGTAAAACAGCACTAATACTTTTTTATTATAAATGAAATTGTTTTTACTCATGCACACAATACTGTGTATACAGTTGCACACCTTCAGCAGCCTGCACATGGTCCGGATGACTTTCCCTTGAATGACATGTTGAACAGCTTCAGAGGACTGAGGGAGGATAACACTTAGCACACCTGTGGCTCTCTGGAGGATAAAGAAAGATTCTGGCATAAGAAAGGGAACAATCTGGGGGAGGAAGACAGATACACTGAAAAACACCATGAAGAAATAAAAAAGATAGCAGAGGTTGAAAGGAGTGCTAGTAATGCCAGACATGTATTTGAAGGTAATCAAGTCAGAAACGAAAGCTCTAAACTTGCCACAATTCTTACTCCAACCATCTCAAATGCCAACATTTACGAGAGGAAATGTCTCTCAGCTCTGTTCTTTGAACTATGAATTTCGAAGAGAATCATATCAGACAAAATCGTGTCAAGCATAATGACGTAAAATAATAATTGTTTTTATTTCATAAGTAATTCTAGACTTGCAAAAAGTTCCTCGCCTAAATGTTAATGCCTTTAAATGTTTGGTTTATTGAGCATACCAAACCGAGCAAATCAATACTAAGCTAAATACTGACATTCCAAAAAATTGTGAGAAATGCAGTAAGAAGGCAGAAAAGTTGAGAATCATGGCAATAAAAATGTGTTTAGCAACACATTGGCAATACTTACCATCTTAATTACTATGGAAACAGTAAGGGGGTTCTTAGATTTTCACACATTATTTACATTTTTACAGAAAATCTGTGTGAAAGTTTTCATGACTGTAAAAAAGAAAAAGACTTAAACAAAAAGGCCAAAAATGGAATTGGTGGGCAAAAACAGTAAAAGCAGTTAATTCTTTCCACTTAAATAAAAAGGCAATACGTACCCAAAGCTGTGACTTTAAACACCTACTCAAGATCCTCGGTAAATTGTGGACTGCTGTCAGCACCTTTGAATGCACTTTGCTTGTGTGGTCACACATAAAGCTCTGGACATAGCTCAGGGACTTTGTATTTCTTTTAATTTAATTCAAATTAATATATTATCTAAATAAATATACTAAATACTGAAGATGCTACTGCAAACATGTATGATACACTGATATAAAAATCTGTGTTTGAGTGCTCATGCAAGTTCAACTCACAGTAATGATTCCTCCATCAGCATCTTTCAGCAGGCCAATGCAGCAGTCACAGAGTAAAACAGCATGTTCCTCCAAAGTGAAAACGGGGTAAGTGAATTTTCACATATATTGCACCTCTAAATAAGTGGCATCACACATCAGAGATTACATATATGCTCCCTTTGTCCCTGGTCCATTGGCTTTTTGTCATTTTTTTAATATATTAAGATCTACTGAGGTTCTGCAGAGAGTCTTTTGGACTCATGAATCACACTTTCATTAAATAGAATTCAGTCTTTTCTTGGCTTTTTCTTGAATGATAGTAAAATAATCTATAGACATGAAAACACACAACATTTGAGGCAGACATAATCACTTTCTTACTTGGATGACTGGAGAGGTAACCGTTGAAAGGTTGATGATCAAGCCAAGAAAAAGGTAAAGGGTCTCTTTGTGTTTAGATGCACTGCAAAGCCTCTGCAGAGAAAGACACCATATTTTAAAGTGGGTCAAAAAGGGACATCTGTTAACACTTCACTGAAGTGTGACATTTCTTTTAGCATTTGGACTGAGCAGCAATTTGCACTTCAGCAAAAAGGGAGAAGTCTGTAACTATACTGACAACAGCAGCCATAAAGGCCTTCCAGCATTCTTCATTGAGAGCAACATTTTCACGGATGACATCATCTCGAACCAGAGAGCCAAGAGCTGATATCAATGAAGGAGGGATATGCTGATGGGACTTGCCGAAATTTGTCTGGAAATCAAAGCAAAAAAGCATGAACATTTGCTGAAAATAACAAAAAGTACTAAAACCATTGAACAACTTTTCATGTGTATTATCTTACCAGCATTTTTGTCAAAGGTACAATGACAGAGTCTGTCAATACATTTCTTAGCTGAATACAGAATCTGCAAGAAAATAGAATATTTCTACTGTAAATGAAAACGTTTACATGGACAGTAAAGATTCTGGCGAATTACCTCCCTAATGTGAAAAAATGTATCTCTGTGGTGCTAACGTGAGTTATGATTACCAGTCCGTAATTTATTCCACATAGTGACACACACACACACACACACACACACTTTTATAAAATCGCAAATCCTACCTTTCGTACATATTACTGAAAACTTGAAGCATTAGTCAGGTTTTCTATTCACTTTAAAACGATTACTTCTGCTTGTCCCTAATTTTGTACAGACTTCTCCCACTGTACCTTGGCAGTGAGAAGACAGTACCGTACATAGAAGTAAATAGTTTTTACCTTTCACAAAGTTACAAATAAAAGTTTGGGCGCTTCCTTGGTTAAAATACCTTTGCATGGAATAATGTAAAACCCAGGTTACAAAACTAGTAAACGTAACAACCTGTGTTCCACAGAAATGTCCAAGTTCCTTCTTTGTTTGGGCACAGAATCAGGACATTAACTGTAAAGTTAATGTCCTGATTCTGTGCTAAATGCATGCGTGAAAGCTAAATGCATGTGTGCAAATGCATATGTACATTCTGCAAATCCTTCAATATGATATATCACTGTGGTTGGAATCAGTGTTTGAATCAAAATGAAAACATCAATGCAAAATCAAAATTGACATGGCTTAGCTTCAAGAATGAAGAAGACATTTATATAAGATATAACACAATTGTTGAATAGCACTCCCTGAGCTATAGACAAGAAAAATTGATCTCCCTATTTCACGGCTTGACACCTCGACTTATTTCCTGCTGTGTCTCAGAGCCTGAGATGTCCTTTCATGTCTATTTTCATGAGGTGCCAGAGAAGAAAACAGGTTGAGAATGGCCTCTGCCTTTCTGTGATATTAACACATTGATACCACATGCTGATTTATTAAAGATGCCACACTTTGTGATACAGTGGGGACCTCTCCCAGTGTGGTAAACTTCTCATTTATAGCCATAAAATGAAAATACAACCTTTTTTTGAAAGTTAGGATTTACATAATAAAAATGAATAAACAAATAAATAATAAAATGTGATCATAATAAATATGATCTGCTCTTTATTAGGTCTTAAAGTTTTTCTCACCATATAGTAAGCAGATGCCATACTACAGTCTTATACATTTATTTTTTTTATAGTCAAAGAAGTTTAACTACACCCAAAGATTTAGTGATATTTACGTAACAAGAACCTGGAGATTTTTGTTTTCTGTGTGACATATCAAGTGTCTTACATTAATCTGGAAAAGTGTTCGCCCACTCCTCAGTACAAGGTTTTTCAAATTGATGAAGAGTTTTGTAATGTCCTATCACAGCAGTCAGTAAGGTGGAGGCCTGGACTTTGACTGTACCATTGTCACATATTGAATATTTTTTTTAGCCATTCCTCTACAGATTGGTTTTCCAATTATCAGACAGAATACCAGTAATTGACATTTGACTCCAGAATACTTGGATAAATTACATGAGATGTTAGCATTTACATGCTTCTTTTGGTTTTCACTCACATGTGTGTCATAGATACCAAATGTCTGCATTTTAGTCTTGTCTTTCAAAGTACTCTGTTTTACTTGTGTTTGCTCAGATGTCACGAAAAACTAAATATAAACTTTGAGCCTATTCAATGGAACCCTTCAAAACATGGTGCATTTGTGTTGTATTGGTCCTAACTTATAATATATGGAAGAAAAATGAACTATTCTCGTAATTCTGCAGAGCATTTCAAACATGCATTTAAAGTGATATGCTGTCTAGTGAGGGAAAAACTGATTATAGTTTGGATTTCTAGGTTTAGTACCTCTTTTCTGTTGCAAAGTTCTCCAGGATACAGGATGCTGTAGTTTCCTGCTCATGTTTTGGCTCTGAGATGCACACCATGAGGTTCCTCACTAAACTTTAAAGGGAGAGGTATGCACAAGAAAAAAAGGGAGAAAGTGTTTAAAAAACAATTAATGATAATTACGACATATTCTTAATATCTTTAATCAGTCTATTCGGTTATGATCATTTTGCATCCCACATGAAAACAGTGTCTACGTTTACCCCCACTGGAATACTTTTTTTAGTTCCATATGCCCTGGAAAAAAAACCCATGGAATGTGTATGCTCAGTAGACAAGAAATTGTTTAGCAAGTGATTGTCTTGTGCATGGTAGCAATATAAAAATGTCTTACTTGTGCAAATTTAAATTTTCAATGGCCAAACGTCTGCCATGTGACGTCTTCGAATACAGACCAATTAATTCCAGACATTCTCTCTTGACTGCAACATGGTCTGATATTACCAACTGGACAATAGACTGTCTGGTGACTGGACATGTCATCAGCATTTTCTGGTTCTCATCTGAAAGTGAACACAAAAAAGATTATATGTAAAGAATTTTTCTGGACCGACTGGACTGGTACAGTACTATGGAGCTTAGCTCACATGAATATGAGGTCGTGATAGTTGTAATGCTGAGTGCATTTTATGTTTCTCATTACCATATTAATGCATATATGGTAATTATATATGCATTTATGGTAACTATTATCTATTATCTTATTATCTACTAACCATTTTCTAAACAAATAATCCTCCATAATTTAAGAACAGACACACATAACTCTTGGCTCTCTGGATCATTGGTGTTCTGCAAGAGGCAACTGTGGAGAAAACCAAGAAAAAATTGTGATAAATGTGAAATATCAAACATATCACAAAACATAAATAAAAGTAAATTCCTAAAATTTTAAAAATAATGACAGTATTCACTTTATGGTTTAGATTTGTTGAAAGTAATATAAAACTCAGAGAACACATTTGGCTAGATATTTGATACACTGATACACCTACCAGTTCAAGTTACACAGACAACATCCTTCTTTGCTACTTGACTTACTTTACTGTTGGTAGAACTATTTTCCCAGCATCAGCATACTTACAGGCTATTTTCATCGAGTTCAGAATGCTCTCTTTCTACAGTACTGTACTTCCTTTGTTCTGTGTTCTGACATGATTCATGACAGTGCTAATAATGAAAGCATGGGAAGCAATTGACAACTTAATAATAACCTTAGAGATCTAACACAAGGGGGTAATCATCCTTATCTTTCGGGGGAAAAAACTACTTCTTTCTGAGACATAACAGCAGGCCTTTGCACTTTGCAGAATTCAACTCAATCTCTTGTGAGATCATTTTGTTTTTCTTTCGGCTATCTCTCAAACAGTTGTACATAGAAAGAGAGGGTGGTGACTGATCTCTCTAGTTTAGGCCATCATTGTCTGTGTGTGCCCCTGTCCCTGGGTTCATCAGTCAAAGCTCCACTGAAGGCTGGCTGCTAACTCTCCCTCTGGTTTCATTACCTCCTCACTGTGTCATTGCTGCTGACGATACTGAAGCCATTGTTCAGTCTGAAGAGAGTCTGCCCTGTACCTGTTAGAAAAGAGAAGTAGATAGTGCCAAAAGAAAGAAAAATATAAACTATTACCAGTTGTAAGGAGGCTTTACACAAACATAAATCGTCTTTCTTTTTACGTCATTAGCCTCATTCTCCATTTACAGTCAAGGATACAGGAGAGTAGAAATAAAAAATGTATTTGTTTTCCACTGATAATCAAACACAGCCTGTTTAATGTAGTGCAAATGGGGAAAATGAAGGGTTACTTTCAGATAAGAATGCTTGTAATGTCAACCCTGCTGAGATCTTTTCAGTCCTGAGTTATGTAAGTTTTGCCCTTTTCTGTTGAATGGCACTGAGACAGGCATTATATCATTTGACATGACACATTTATTCTTACAAATTCGGAAAAAAGAGATACTGGATAGGAAATATTTGCCAGTCAGTACAGGAGTTGTTGCCCAAAAGAATATGGTAAATGGTCAAATTATTTCCATTAAAATTATTATGTTTTATCATAAATAGTTGGCTAAGTGACAAGCTTGTGAACTTTGACCAAATAGGGGTTTTAATCTTCATGAGTAATACCATTTATGCCATTCTTAATGGAGTATTGAAAAGGTTTCAAATGTCTTTGATTGGAAAATCAGTGAGATACTTTTTTAACATTTGGAAAGATGTAAAGAGGTGTGAGCTGGCATTGTGATGAACTGATGAACAGGTATGCAGGCTGTGGTTTCATGTCAGGGCATGAGTCATTATTTTGGAATCTCAAGGGGAAGAACTTGTTTATTTTGTCTACAATAAGTACATTATATCTTTTGTCGAAAACTAATTCTAATACAATAGTTGCCTGGAGAGCTTTGAGTTGGGTTTGGCAAAATGACTATTGAGTTTAGTTTCATTAGTCTGTTAAAGTGACTGCTTCATTAATAAATTAATCTAATTATTAATAATGTTCCTCTCTGCTCCATTTAGAATCATTAGCTGTGATGGAGAAACCCATGGTGACTGGTTTGAACAGTGCTCAAAAAGTCAGATTTTTCTGACGTCATACGTCCCAAAAGCACTCCTATTACCCTGTATAACACACTGTTGTTGAGTCAAATTCACAGGCAGTGAAGGGAAGCAGATAAAATCTACTAAATTTCATTGTACAGAGTTTGGGAAAAATGTTCTGATTCTTGCTGCTGACAGATTGCACTCGCAGTAATGAGAAATTAGAAAAGTGGGATCTTTCACATTATGTGGAGACACTGTCCTCATCATTTCAGCTGTGAGAAACAGCAGGTGAACACACAACCACATATGCTGCAGTTTCGCTTGATTTATTCTACTTAATAACTATTACTGTAAAACAATGGTAATAAGAACAATATAAAAGTTTGAACAGTGTTTATTAATTAAATTATTTGATCAGCCAGATTTTTTCAAAGAATGGCTTATGTGACAAAAAAAAACCTTCACTACTGTATGTGCATGTCTGCCTATTTCACAGCAGTACTTCTCACTAGAGCTGTGTTATCAGTAAAATGTGATTTGTAATCCAGCTGGGTAAGACTACTGTTGCTCATTGTAACAGTAAGAGCAATTGAAGTCAGATTAATGGGAGATCTGAATGGGACTTCTGTCATAACTATTCATAAATAGCCCTAAACATTCATGTCAGTTCTCCTATTGCTCTTTCAACAAGTAAAGGGAAATTAAAGGAAACAAATAATTAACAGCCGTTGATCCCTCTATCTTCTATTGTTACAGGAAATGACGAGAAACCATTCATCATTTCAACCCTGTTTTGTGATATGGAACGCTCCAAGACAATACATTTCAGCAGTTAAAGTGAGCTACTCTGTGTTGCTTTACGTCCCTTTAACCACAGCTGGGACAGGCTCCATTCTCGATTTTACTAGAAAAAATAGGGATAAGAGGGTATAGAAAATGAAGGTATGGAAAGAAATCCCTTTAACCACAGTGGACTAAAACTGGATTCTCTCATCATTTTAACAATAAAACTAGCCAATAGGTGAATCATTAAAGCAGATTATTGAGACAAGCAAAATTGCGCAAAGCTTTTACAAAAAGTAACTCACATTCATTCACTGCTTGTGACAAAATCTCAAATCCACCACAATAATAAAGGGCCATCTGACTGGGTCTTGACAGCTGTTCCAGCAGCTGGGGCACTGCTGCACACTTCCGTTCTCCTTTATTCAATTCTTGCCAAGCAGTCATCTCTTGACTCTCTCTGTTCTCTTCCATATGTACAAGGTGCAGGTATTCTAAAAAGGTTAAAAATGAGAAAAGAGAAAAGGGACAATACAGCTATTCATTAGCATTGACTGAAAAAACTGTCCGAGAAAGTTTCTTCTGTAATGTAGTTGCCGTCTAGAGATGTCGATGTACATGATGCTGATTGTGCAAGAGAAGTTTTCCAAGTGACAAATTAAAGTTAATTAATTCATTATTTTTCTTTAAAGACATAGAAAGAAATTTACTTATTGATGGGGAACAACCAACTGTCATTTTAAAGTTTACTAAGAGGTTTTGAAACCTTGCATCATTGTCAACTAATTTACTGATGATGGAGCCTACTTTTGATTAGCTTCAGTCTGGCTTACAGTTTACAACAGATTTAAGAATTTCAGAGTTCAGCAAGTCTCTTGGATGGGAGGTGAAATGTCTTTGAGAAGCACAAGAAGCCAAACTGACTCATATTCGAGCCCTTAAGTCATTAAACCTTTTCTGGTCCAAATGATGAAAATATCACTACCTTTCACCATCTTCTCCCTCCAAGGTTCAATTTCCTGCATCTTTTCAAAGCTGTTTCTTGCCTGAAAAAGAGAGATTTTATTCTTTATCACTGTCTATGTAAAATGCTTCACTGGTCTCTAATGTGCCCAGGATGGGAATAAATCATTTTTTCCTTTTAAAAGATTACAGTATGTCAAATATATTTTTGGAAACATCAATGACTTTGAGTTGGCCTCAGAAGTAAGGTCTATGTTAAAAAAAAACACAATTTAAATTCGGAGCCATATGGAGGGTTGTTATCTTGCAACCTGCTAGACTTTACTGAAAGTCCTGATTAATAATATAGTTTTAATCTATTAGTGTAGCCTTATTTCTAAAAGAGTTCAATTAAATCATACATCTGTTTGCAGGGCAACATGTTCAAAAGACAGGAGTTTTAATTAAATGGAATGAGTAATTATACTCACCTCATTGTATTTCTTCAACCCTAGATATGCTTTGCCCATGTGTACATAGGCTTTTATGCATCTCTCATTACACTGTAAAAAAGAAGACTGTCAGTTGTAGCAATAACCAGCTCTTAGGCTAATTTTGCTGCAGAGAGTGTGGTCTATGTATTATGGAAATATTTTTCTAATGAACTTTTTAAGTGCATTAGTGTGATAAAAAAAAAAAAACTGTTGGTGCATTATGTTTAATTTCATTAAAACCCAGTTATGGGATAATCTATGGAAATGTATATGTCTCTCTTCAAGGAAAGTCTCTAAACTGCTGATGCTCAAAGACCTGTTACGATGTCAAGAGGATGGTTAGACCTCACCTTCAACGCCCATTCACAATCACTGATGGCCTCCTTGTACCTTCCCAGCTTTATATAGGCCTGTGTAGATACAACAGGTCTTAACTGAATGCCAAAAACAACATGTGTAGATTTGATCAACTAACCAAATTGTTTGTGCGCATGGCAATAAGATAAGATATCTGATAGTTAGGGTTCATTCACACACATGCTGTGAGCTGAGGCCTGTCTGCACCCTTGCTTAAATACATTAAAAAACTATGACCAAAGTTGTGCTGGGATTCCTTATGAGGAACAAAGAAATATTTGGAGATTGTTATCAACGAAGACAACCAAAATAGAAGCTTTTTACCTGGGCTCGATTTGTGTAAAGTGGCTGCATATCCCTGACTTCAGCCAAGCCATCACTGTAATACTTCACTGCAGTTTCATAGTCTTCTTTAGTATACGCTTCATTCCCCTTGTCTTTGAGAGCTGAAGGGATGCAAACAATGCAACATTTAAAAGGGCCTTCCTGGCAGCTTTACAAAGAAAAAAGGTCAGCAGCCCCAACAACATATTCAAAGAATAGGGAAAACACGCACCGGTTGCCTTCGTCACTCTAGCCAATCTTTTCATTTGCCGGTCTTCTGCATCTTTCTGCATAATCTTCATGAAATTCTCTATTTAAAAAGAAATAAACTTAACAACAAAACCTAATCGGAATAAAATGAAAGAGCAAAGATGACTGAAATCATGCAATTCCTCACACAGTAGTGTGACTTTTATTCACTTTTAAGAGCACACTCCAAGTTCGGTTTTATATAACGAAAAAAAGGCATCAGTCATCCACATGATCATTGTCGTCCTCGTCATGTGAAAGTATGTGTACATCAAGCACAGTTTCTGCTATTTAACGTAAGAAACTAAAAATATAGAAAAAGAGAGTTTCCAAACACTATACTAACATATTCAGATGTGTACTTTAACGTACTTTTGCAATTTAAAAACACTTTTTCTGCCAACACAGCTCCAAGCATAGTTTTTTTTTTTTCTGCAACATGACAGTAGCGAATGGTGTATGTACTGTATGATAGTGCTGTTATTGATGAGTTTTGTCTCACTGGGTCTTGAAAAGAAGTGCTGATTCAAGTAGCTTAGGCTAATAGAGTTTCACTACAATGCCTCTTGCTTTATGGCTCTACAGCACTCATGGAATGTTTCAACACACAATTGTTGGTTTGACCGCAGTTGATAGTAAACCAAACAGAAAATGAGAAAGCTTTAAACAAATTAACCAAACAAAATATACTACTTTATTTACTCTGACAACTTAGATTAATGTCAGTTTATGTCAGCTGATGTTCTTAAATTGACTATTTTTTTATCTGGATTTTATTATTTCAGAATTAAATGGATATTTAGATTGTAATTAGCTAGCCGAAATAATTCTGTTGTGCAGAACATAAGATTTCAAATGACTGAATTCATTGCAATGGATAGACAACAATGTATGTTTGGTTAAGCTCACCTGGACCCTCATTCTGTGGACTCTGTAAAACAGGAAAAGCAATCAAAAGACAGCAACAAAGAAATCTGTTGTCCTCATAAAGCTGAATGTAGCAAGGTGGACAAGTCAACACCACAGGACACCGTTGGTGCTATGTATGTGCTTGAAGGACAAAAGCATCAAGGAAGAATAATAGAGGCCAATACAAAGAAACCCACAGGGGAGGAAAATACTCAAAAAGACAGAGCTTAGGAGTGCAATGTGCTGTTAACTTTGTGTGCATGTTTTTACCAAGCAAGGTTGACGTGGTGGGTTAGTGTTGATTGCAGTTTTGTTGATTTTGGTTCTGCAAGGTTCATCAAAGGCTTTAATGTAGCAATCAGCTTTTGCCATGGCTTTTTGTTGCATTTCAGCATCAGTAGACTGTAAATCCTCCACCACCTGACCTACAAAAGGATTCAAGATTAATTGGTTTTTGGTATTATTTTGTTACCTTAAAATGCACCACAAAATAATAGTATAATAATATAAAAGGTAAGTCTAGATGGGGGCATTTTGTATTCAACCTCATAGAGGTTGATCTTAAGCCAATATTGCAAATTGGTAATCCTTCATTTTGTTCATTTAAATTCAGTGTATTTAAGAAAATAGATAGGTAACTGCGTGAAAGATGCTTCTGTTAAAGACATTCTTTTAAGAAGGTTCCAAAAACAATATCATATGGAAACTAGAACATTTTGAGGGGGGGACCTACTGCTGGCTCCAGGAACCTGGGCTTTTGGGCTGGAGCCCCCCTGACTGGTACCAAAACAACAGTCCAGCACCACTTAATGAAGTCCGTTTCGGCAGTTGATGAAAGTGCCCCCCCTAATTAAGCTTTTTTTAAATTCTTTTAAATAGCGTATTAGGAAAAATAATTGCCCTGGTCTTAGAAAAGAATCTCCAGAGATGAACATTGAAATGCTGAAACTGTCTTACAGTGCATATTTAAATACGGCTGAAACATTTAAAGACTTTAATAACATCTTGGACGGTGAAACTTTTACTGATTACTGGTACATGCATTTCGCAACTGCTTCCGTTTAAGGAGCGTCGAAGAAGTTTTGTGTAGTGCTCCGCATAGGATACTTACTTATTTTGTCGACGTTTTTTAAAAAACTCTCAAATTCTTCAAGTTTATCCATTGCGTTATTCCTTTTTATCTAATTAAATGAATGTAACGTTTGTTTCCAGTTCAAGCTAATGAGCAGTATTTGGTGGACCCTGATCGTGCTAGTTTGGCGTTGAGTTGCTATAGTAACGTAGTAAAATGGTGCGTTCAGGGTCGGTCAGGAGAAAACGAATACCTGCGGCTTATGGCCATAATAAAATTGTCATTCTATCACTTCCATATGAGCAGCGTCCTGAACAACTGCATTTTCTTTTCTATTACGTCCCACTGTCTGCCATGCACGCTAACCCTTGCACTCTAGCCCACAAGTTCACGAATGTGTGCAGTATACCTGGGATTCTTTCTTTCATGTTAGCCAAGTCAAATATATACGTATTCACATGTGAATATGTATATATTAACATATGTTCTTCGGAATCGTGATAAGTCAGATGCCTTCAAACTGAGGACTGCCAAAAGCTTTTATTATATTCTTCACTGGTTATTTTTTAGGTATGTAGTGTGGTTCTGTTTGACAGTCTTTTTAAAAGAATTCTTACTTAAGACTGACTGCAGACTCCAATCGACTCAGCCTGCTTTGGGTGACCAAAACCAAAAGATGAAAAAAGTCTGCATGTTTCACTTCTTCCTGTTTTCTAAACAGTAGATCTTTACTGCCTCACTGTGGTTACAGAAGAAATGTATTTGAAAAAACATAATGATCATAATAATCCTAATAATAATCGTTTAAAAAGATTATATGCCTGGGGTGGTGGAGAAATAAATAATTAGCATCAATACAAAGAAATATGTTTCACATGTTTCATGTGTGAAAGTACTTATATGTATTTCTACTATTTCAAGTGGTCAAGCATGCAGTTTTAGTGTAAATGGGCATATCTGACCATCCATCCATCCATTTTCGTAACAGCTTATTCCCTATTGGGGTCGCGGGGACTGGAGCCTATCAATAGGTGAGAGGCAGGGTACACCCTGGACGGTCCGCCAGTCCATCACAGGGCCCCACATATAGAAACACAAGAACAACACATTCACTCCTGAGGGCAATTTGGAATGTCCAATCAACCTAACATGCAGGGTTTTGGACAGCGGGAGGAAGCCGGAGAACCCGGAGAGAACCCACGCAGACACAGGGAGAACATGCAAACTCCACACAGAATGGTCACGGTTCCCCCGGGGACGTGAACCCAGAACCTTCTTGCTGTGTGGTGATGGTGCTTAACCACCACAACACCGTGCAGCCCTGCATATCTGACCATGCTTCCTAATTCATTCCATTTGTTTAATTAGACTCAGACTTGGACTTCCTTTATTTTAATTGGACAAAAATCACAAAGTGAATTTGACAACGACATTTCGTTTCTTGTCTACTGAGCACAGCGAAGTCTGTGTGTGATATTTGGTAATAAATAATCTTGGGATAGTTACAAATACCTGAACTATGTGAATTTAGCTCGATATATAAATAAGCTGAAAAAAGTGATTTTTAGTGTAAAAGATATGGAGATAATATATATATACAAACAATAAATAATAATTACAACTAATCTGACAAAAATTTGAGCAAGATGTTCGCTAACAGCAGCATTATATGAGCAATAGAAGGTGGACACGTGGCTCTACTAACAATACTAACAAGGATACTAACAATTTTCAGGCAAAAGCAACTGTTTTTCGAGGGATGTGGCTCTACTGCCAGCTGAGGAGAACGATTCCTCTAAGTGAATTTTGGAGGTGTCCTCCAGTTTAAAAAGTTTCCCATGGTCTTTTGTCACTCAGGGTTGTCTTTATTCTTTTTCTTCCTGGGGCCATAAACCCCACCCATGCAGAATAAAAGATGAGTCGGTAACCACCTACACCAATTACTGGATCCAGACACTGGCATACAGACCATAACTGTTATCAGACAAGCAGATACGGTACTATGGAAGGAGGTCAAACCCGTGCTGTTGCACCATCCTACTGTGGGTGGTCAATTTTCAACACTTTTTGCTGCTGTCTGCCTCTGGGGATTGCTGCCATCATCTTTTCCCACAAGGTAGATAAGACATCAAATTTTGTTTGGATTAAACCTTTTGTTCTTTTCATATACAGTATTTTGTTCTTTTCAAATATTTAATTGTATTTATTCATATATGTATGTATGTATGTATGTATGTATGTATGTATGTATGTATGTAT